GAGCTTGGAAGAATGAAAGACACTGTACAGAGCAGAAGAAAAACTAAAGAAAAAAATCAAAACTCAAAAAACACCACCCGGAACCGTCGCTCTGTGAGGAGTCCGCGGAGAGGGAGGGCAGCTGCGCTCTCACGGAAGAGCAGCGGGTGAGACGGGCGCGGCGGCTGGGCCCAGCCGTGCGGCTTTGCTGGTTGGAGCGATGCCCACGCACCAAGGCAGCAGGTTCAGTTCCCAGGCGGGCACATCCCTGGGTCGCGGGTTTGGACCCTGTGGGAACGTGTATGGGAGGTGGCTGACCAGTGTGTCTCTCACATCGATGTTTCTCTCCTTCTCTCTCTTTCATCAACTAGAAATAGTTAACAGCATGGCAGCTGGGATTCTAAAATCTGACTTGTGAGGTTTGGCCGGCCAAGTGGAGGAAATACCCCCGTAAGTAGAACAAAATTTTTTACAAAATGAGAGCAAATAGGAGCCCAAACTAAGAAAATGAAAAGATCTCAGAATTCCAGAAGGAAGAGTGTGCAAGAGGAATGATTGAAACCAGGATTTTCAGAACTCACGGACACAAGCTAAAGAACCCCTGTGTCTGGCACGGCCACGGGTAAAAGACCACACTGAAGCATCTGAATTACTGTGAAATTAAAAACGGACATAGAGAAGATCTCGAAGCTTCCCGAGAAAAACGGGCCACGCTCCAAGGCTGCGACCTGGGCGTCTCAGCCCAGCCCTGGCTGCTGGCGGACGGGACCCCGCTTTCAGAGTTCTGAGAGAAAAGGCTCCCAGCCAGGAATTCTGTGCCCAGCCAAGCTGCCAGGCACCTGGCAGAGAGGGTCTCAGCCTCACTAGCTCAGGAAGCAGCCGGAGGGCGGGTCCTGCCACCAAGGAGGGGCACCTGGATAGCAGACGGACCTGACGCCTCCTCCTGCGGGAGCAGGAGGGGCATGACCTGGGGCGTAGAGAGCTGAGCGAAGCTGTGTGCTTGGCTGCGTGGGGTGGGGGGGTGGGGGGTTGTCACGGAGTGGGGAAGGCTCACTCGTAGCCGCACAGAAAGCTGAGCTGGCACCAGAGCAGCCGTGGACTCTAGGAAAAGAACCCCGTGCAGGAAGGAGGTGTGGCCTTGACTGCGCTGAGTGAGACACTCAGAGGCTTCGCATCGTCAGGCCAAGTCCTGCTCTGAGGCGCGGGGGGCGGGGGGCGGGGTGAGGGGGCTTGGCGAGGTCCGCACCTCCCGAGTTGGAATCAGTGCCGTGGAAACATGGACACGTTGCAGCCGCGACACAACCACCTGCCTGAGCACGTGCGGAACGCGGAACTCAGGTGGGAGGACAGTCAGCAGGAGCTTGCTCTGGGCGTGGGAGTGGGGAGGGGAGGGCCTGGATGTTCGGTTACAGGCCCTCAGTCCTCTGGCTTCTTAAACCAGGTGCCCTCGAGAGTTTGGTTAATAAAACGAGAAGAAGAGAACTCTAATCCCAGGGTCAGGATCCTGGGGGCTGGGAGCCAAGTTCCGTGGGTTCTGACCCGAGAGTGCTGGTCACTCTCTCCCCAGGGGCGGGTGGACATGGCGATGGGCTCCCTCCAGCCTGTGACCGGCCAGGCCCCATTCCCGAGGACTCCCCCCAGGACGCCGTGGGCCTCAGCCCGAGACCCAGGGTCAGAGTTCATGCCCGCCGCACGGGGTGACTTCCCGGCGTCCGCGGAAGCTCTTCGGCAGGAGGTCGCCTTCAGTAAAAGCCTGGGGCGTGTTCCTCCCGAGGCGGCCCTGCGGCCTCCCCAGTTTCAGGGTGAGAGCTGGAACCACCCCCCCCCCCCGCCTCCCCACCCCTCCCCTCAGCCTTCCTGCTGCCCTGCTCCCTCCTCTGCTCACCTCCCCCAGGGAGTGGTTGGGGTGGTGGCTGCGCTCTGCCCCCACCTGCTTTTGTACCCCTGGTTGGGGGGCTGCAGGAGTGGAGGGGCACCCAGCACAGCTGTGGCCCTCCCCCCCATCTGCCCGCAGCCCATCCGCAGGGCCTCACACGTGCTTCTCTGCCCTCCACACCCTCCTGCTCCCCCGCATGCTGGGAGGCGGTGCAGGAGTGGGGCCTGCATCCTTGGGGTCCCACTGCTGATGTAGCTCTCCCCTCCCATGACCTTGACTAGGAATCTAAACTGAGCTCCGTTTCCACATCTGCACGGGAGATGCTCATAAACCCTCCCTGCGCCCGGCCGTGCCGGTGGCCCCAGGTGTCGTCTGTTACCGCGTGTCCCGTGTCGGGAGGAGGCTGCCTGGCTGGCTGGAGGCTGTGGTGTGTCCTTGTGGGCGTGGTCCCGGCAGCGGTGCTCCTGTGTCTGGAGCTCAGAGTTGCTGAGCCCCTCTGGCCCGCGAAGGTCATCTGTGGCCTTGGCCCCGCCAGCCTGTGAAGGAGGGCAGGCATCGCCTCCATGGTCCAGGAGGGATGCAGGGCTCCAGGGCCAGCCCCTGTCCAGTGAGCAGAGGGTGGGAGGTGGCCAGACGCCAGATCCTGAGAGGCCCTCGGGCAGGAGGGCGAGGCTCAGCGAAGGAACCCAGGCGTGACTCGGGCGTGTTCAGGTCCCGCCTTCCCTCCCCGCGCCTGTGGGACGGGGGTGGTAGCCCTGCCTCGCAGGAGACGTGGGCGGGCTCTGCTAAGACGTGCTCCCTGCCCTCACGAGCTGCCCTTGAGGCCGGTGCGCTGGGGGCTGGAACAGAAGTTCTGGTCCTGCGGGGCCAGGACAGGCACCGATGGCCCAAAGGTCAGGGCCAAGTGGGCCCGGTGGGCGGCAGCCTGTGGACAGCTTCGGCATAGCAGCCCCAGCCCCAGCATCGAACGTGGGAGCGCGTGGGGCGGGGGGACGAGGCCGAGCAGGACGGGAGGGCCACTGGGGCCTGGCAGCCAGGAGAGTGGATGGGGGCTGAGTGGGCTCCAGGTAACCCCCAGGGGTGCCTGGTGCTGGGACCTGGGGGGGGGGGGGGCAGTGGCATGGAGAGGAGCGGCGAGCCCGGAGGACTGCCGCCCTGGTGCCTGGCCGAGAGCCTGCAGGGCCGGGCGGTGCCGTCCGTGATGGTGCTGAGCGGAGTGGCAGGAACCCCGCAGTGACCGTCAGTGCCGTTGTCCTCATCACCTCTGGTTGGGCTTTTTCTGCGATCATTTCGTCACATCTTGCCCGTTGAGGCTTGGGGCTGCTCCCTGCACTTGTCCCGGGTGCCCCTTCCCCACCCTCGTTGGTGCCGGGCACCGGGCAGTGCCCTCCTGTTGAGGCCCTGAAGGCTGGAGGAGGGGAGCACGTGTTGCTCAGCCAGGAAGTGGACCTGGAGGGGCCACTGGGGACAGGCCGCCCTCTGGCTCTCGCAAGGCTGGCCTTCCGGCACAGAGAGCTAATGGGGCTTTGGAGTTGACGAGTCGATATTGACGGAAATCGATGTTAATGTGCAGAGAACATCGGTTTGGGTCCCTGCCTGTGGGGGCTGCAGGAGTGGGGGTGGGACACTAAAAATAGGCCCTGAGGACGGCCCGGGAGAGCCATTTCGGGAACTCTGCCCACAGTCGTTCCTGAGGGCACAGACGCCCAGTGCAGCTGCCCTGAGCTTGCCGATGGGTGGGCCTCGGGAGGAGGAGGGTGGGCCACACACTGGCTCTGTGACCTTGGGCCCACTTAGGCCTCAGGAGTCTCGTCTGTGAGGGAGTGATGGCCCCACCTCTCAGGTTGGTGGGAAGCTCCCAGGGTTAGTAGCTTTTCTGTTTGAATTGATGAGCTGCTGCACCACTTTTTCCCTTAGGGCCTTTGCTCCGAAGCTGCCTCCTCCAGGAAGTCTTCCTTGATCAACACACCTCTTTCTGATTGCTCAGCACCCAGGGTTTGCTTGTGCATTCAGAATAAAGGATGTGCAAGTCATGCCTGGGCCGTTGGCGCAGCAGAGACGGGGGACGAGGGCGAGAGTGTCAGTTATGTGGCTGGTCAGGGAGCCTTCACCTCTGAAGGACCTGAAGGGAGGAGGAAAGGGCTTCAGGCAGGGAACCAGCCTGTGCAAACGGCACGCTCTGCACCAGCAGGGAGGCCGTAGGAGCTCAGTGGATGAGGCGTGGGGGGCTGGGGGGGCGAGGCTGCCAGGCGCGGGGGGCTGTGGGGCGAGGCTGCCAGGCCCGGGGGCCGGGGGGCGAGGCTGCCAGGCGCGGGGGCCGGGGGAGGCCTCGCTTTCCTCGGGAGAAGCCCGTCCTGGCAGGGTCTGCAGTGGGTGGAATGCCATCTGGGTCCGCGTCAGCATCGTAGCTTGTCTCACCCATTGCGGAGCCTGATGTGGGTGGAGTCACCAAGAACCAGGCACGAGGTGGCCCGAGGGTCGAGGGTCGTCTCTTCTGGCCCAGCGCTGTGTGTGGGGCGCAGCCTCACAGCCTCGCTGAGCGCAGCGGCAGTTCAGGGCAGCGGCAGTTCAGGGCCGCGGCTCTCGTTGCCGTTGACGAGGATCAGTCACACTTCCTCTCCTTCTGGGGTTGCCCATGGCACCGTGGTTTCCCAGGCCCACTGTTCTGGGCGGCGCGGCCAGGATCGCCCTGGTGCGCGTCTCCGTGTAACCGGGGAGACTCTGGGATCTCAGGGCGCGCCCGTGTCGCTGTGGGTGCTGGGCACACAGTGCCGCAGTGTCAGACGCTGGCTGGCAAGTCCTCCCGCTGGGGCCCCGTGGCTGCTGTGTGAATGGCAAGTTGAGCTGGAAGCCTCGGGACTGAGCACCATCCATGGTGACAGCCCTTGGGCCCCGGCGGCAGGCGCTGTGCGTCCTGTTCATCCCTCTGACAACCTCAGAGGCGCTCCCCCCGTCACCGCAGGGTGGGACTCGGGCGAGGTGCTGGCCCAGGCCAGTGTGCTCCGCTAGACTCAGGCGCTCCTGGGCGCCACGCGCTCCCCCTCCCGCGCCCCCCAACCCCATGACCCTTCAGCCCCTCCTTGGGCTAGTGCTGAGCTGAGAGGGCCCCGCCCTGGCCTCTGAGCGCCTCCCCGGCCCCCCTCAGGCACAAGCTTGCTGCAGGAGGTGGTCTACCTGGTGAGCCAGGGCGCGGACCCCGATGAGATCGGCCTGATGAACATCGACGAGCAGCTCCCGGTCCTGGAGTACCCGCAGCCCGGCCTGGACATCATCAAGGTGACAGCTCCTCCCGAGAGGTGGGGGTGGGGGGGCCCTGTGGGCGGGGGAAGAGCAGAGAGCTGGGGGGGCCCTGTGGGCGGGGGAAGAGCAGAGAGCTGGGGGGGCCCTGTGGGCGGGGGAAGAGCAGAGAGCTGGGGGGGCCCTGTGGGCGGGGGAAGAGCAGAGAGCTGCCGGCACCCAGGTAGCCAGGTGACAGGCCTGAACCCGTGACGGTGACCTGCAATCGATGGGTGGGTGACGTGGGTGACTTCAAGGTAGAAAGGAGGCAGGTGCTGGGAGTGGGGGCAGGAGGCAGTGGGGGTGGGGGCCCTGAGTCACCTGCCCCGTGGTTTACCCCGTCTGTTCAGGGAGCTGGGTAGGATGCATTTGCATCAAATTTTTGGTGTCAGGAATGAAATAAGCACCCCAATTTCCTGTCCATTCCATCCCTCCGGTGCATCTGGAATGTTCTCTCCACCCTCGCCTCTGCCACCGTAGTTCACGTGGCATTTCCAGCGTGGACCGCCTGTCCCTTGTCCCACTAGTTGAGTATTCTGTGTTGACTCGTCCGCTGAGCCCGTGCGTAGTGCTGCGCTGGGCACCCGTGGCCGGCACTGCCCTTGGCATCGGGGTACAGCGCTCAGAGCTGACATGCAGTGAGGGAGACGGACCGGGAGACAACAAGGAGGAGTGGCGGTTAAGGGGTGACCAGCGTGCCCAATGGGGAGCCAGCGGCACTGGATGGCCGAGTCGGGGCAGAGGGCCTGGCACGCTCCTGGAGCTGCAGGAAGGCATCCTGCTGAGATGGTTGAGGGCCCAGCCGCCCCTCTGCCTCGTGCCTCCTCTGCTGCCCTTCAAGGCCCGCCCTGGTCCTCCGGGCAGACCCTGGTGACGGACAGGCCGACTCGGGCTGTGGGTGCCCGAGGACGGGCCGCATCTTGCTCACATCTGGCCCGAGGTTCAGCCTGGAGGGTGGTCCTGCCTCGGGCGGGAAGTTTGTCAGGCGGAGCGCTGGTCCCGACCATCCGAGACCCTTGCCGCCCGCCCCCATGGGAAAGGCCCTGAGGCCCGTGGGACTGACCGCCTCTCCCCTGACCCCCCCGCAGGAACTGACGTCACCCCGTCTCATCAAAAGCCACCTCCCCTACCGCTTCCTGCCCTCCGACCTCCACAATGGCGACTCCAAGGTAATGCCCTGCGCCCTCCCACTGGCCTGTGCCCTCATGGCCCCCGAGGCCCCGGGGAGTGAGACCCTGGTGCCAGCGTCCACCCTGGCAGAGCCAGTGTCTCTAGCGTTTCATTCACATTTTAACCTGGGTTTTCCCTCACCGTTGAACTTGGGCTGGACCAGCCTAGTCCAGCCTCTGCCTGTGGAAGGCCGAGCGTTTCAGGCTGATTTTTTTCGTTTCTCAACTGCGTGACGTTTCTGAGCCCACAGTTCTCACCACCGGTGTCAGGACCGTCGTTCTCCTGTCTCCTCCCGCTGACTCTGAAGTAGAGCTGGAGACAGAGATATGACAAATGGCTCCGCTGCGGACCTGCCCCAGCAGGATGCCCTGTGTGGGCGAGGTCGCACCCCTGCTGAAAGGCAGCGGGTGGGGCGGCCTCGATGCTGGAGGGGTCGGGGTGCAGGAGCGGGTGTGGCCCGTGGACCTGCTGGTGGGAAGAGGGTGTCTGACCCCGCGCCCCGCCTGCCCCCTCCCCGCCCCCCAGGTCATCTACATGGCGCGGAACCCCAAGGACCTGGTGGTGTCCTACTACCAGTTCCACCGCTCCCTGCGCACCATGAGCTACCGCGGCACCTTCCAGGAGTTCTGCCGGCGGTTCGTGAACGACAGGCGTAAGTGCGTCAGCCCCGGGGCACGTGCTCCGCCCGCTGTTCATGCAGCACCGCCCGCAGCCCCGGTCTGGCCATCCCTGTGCCCGGCGGGCCTGCTTTCCTGCGGATGGGCGCGCAAGCCGGGCTCCAGGGCTCCTGCGCAGCAGAGCGGGCGTCCCCCTCGGAAGCCCCTCTCTCGCCTCGGTGTTGGGTTCTGAGAGGCTCCCCAGTTCAAAGCCTCTCCCTGCCGGCCTGGATTCGGAAGTGAACACGGAGGCCCAGGCGTCTCCGTGACTGGTGAGGGAGGCCCAGTGCAGGCCCCAGGGGAAGGCAGCGGGATGAGGGTCAGGCAGGCAGCCCCGCCCAGGCCAGTGTGGCCAGGGAGGGGCGGGAAGGCCGTGCTCCGCGGGAGTGGGGGAGCCGCCCTGGGCAGCAGGTCAGCAGGTCCTCACGCAGTTCTCCCCTCACCGCGGTGGCACCGGTTGCTGTCCACTTCCTGTGCGATTCCCCAGCTCCAGCAGTGCCAGCCGGGCTGCTGCAGAGGGAGCAGGTGCCGAGATTAGGGTCCAGGGGGTTGTGGATGCTCGGCAAGTTCCAGTCGCCAGTGGGGTAGGGCAAAGTTCCAGTCGCCAGTGGGGTAGGGCAGAGCATTTGAAGTGATTCCAAGGCAGGCCCGCCCGCGTCTGAAGGTCACCGCACCGTCAGGCACTGACGTCCAAGGCCATAGGCACTCCCGTGCCCCGCAGGTCTCCCCTTTACTCCCTCTTCCCAGACAGTGCCCACATCGGGTCTAGAAGGGCCCCTGCCTGGCTCTTCTCTGTCCAAGGTCCTGAAAATTTGAATAAGAAACGACGAGAGCCAGGCCAGAGGACCCGCTGACAGCACTGGCTTTGCGGGTGTACCCATGCACTCTGGGGGTGTGCCCAGGCGACGGGAGCCTGTATGGAGCCGCTCTGAGCTCAGGCTCCCTGCTGGGGGCGGCCGGTGAGCTGTTAATCCCAGTAATTCGCCGGGATAAGCACGTGGCCTCTCAGGGCAGAGGGACCTGGAGAGAAGCGGGAGCTGCCGTGGGAGCCCCTTCCCAGGAGGGCCCCCCATGAGGCCACGCCCCTCTGCAGCTGCAGCCGGGCTCAGGTGCAGCGGCCCCACCCCCGCCCGTCCAGCTCGTCCCCAGGGGAGGTCAGTTGTGTGCTGTGAGTTTCCTCCTGGGCCAGAGGGATGTGCTCAGGCTCTGCTCACCCAGGGCCCAGCCTCTGCTCTCGTCGGGCGGCGGCCATTGGCCTGCGGTGAGGTGGCTGCTCCCCCCCGGCCCCCGTCCCCCCGCCTCTCCCTCGTCCCCAAGCAGCAGGTTTGGGCGTGTCTGTGTCTGAGGCCCGTCCTGTGTTTCCTCCTGCTGTGAGGGTGCGGGGACGGCAGGCTGGCCGCGGCTCCAGGGCCCAGCAGCTAGAAACCCTGCGGTGAGGGGACCAGCAGAGGGGCCAGCATTTACCCTCAAACAAGACCTTTGGCCGAATCCGTTCTTTTCCTTCCATTCCCTCTGCCCTCCCTTGTGGAGCCCCTTCCTGTTCCTCAGGCCCCGAGGGCTGGGGAGGGCCTTTGTGCTGTGACCTGCTCCTTAAGGCCCATCCCTGGGGGCAGTGACCCCGACCCGATGGACACCCGGTCCCGCTGCTGTGCTGCCACCTGCTGGCGAGATGGCAGACGGCGCAGGCAGCCCCGAGGGGCGGCAGTGGTCACTCCCGTCAGCCCTGTGCTAGGATCTGTCTTCTGCACCCGTCACCCACCAGCAAACCGGATTGCCCGTGTCCCTTTTCCTGGCATCGTTTTCTTCCCGGTGGCCATTGTTAAACACAAACCCATGTGCCAGGGACCGTCCATGCCAGGCGAGCAGAGGCCTTCACCCCCATGTCGGGTCTTCAGGGCATGGGGGGGGGGGGCTGTTTCCTGGAGAGACTTGTGCAGAGAGCAGGTGACGTGGGACTTCAGAAGACCTTGTCTGTGGGGCTCTCTTCCCGCCTTGTGGCCCCCCCGCCCCCACCAATCCCTGGGACTCCCTCCCTCCAGCCAAGAGCTTGCTTTTCCATCCGGAATCACAGCCACCTGTGGGCACACCCCCCTGGTGAGGAGTGACCCCCCTGTCCTTTCTCCGCAGTGGGCTACGGCTCCTGGTTCGAGCACGTGCAGGAGTTCTGGGAGCACCGCACGGACTCCAACGTGCTCTTCCTCAAGTATGAAGACATGCACCGGGTGAGTGTGCGGCGCCGGGAGCCAGCGGGAGCCTGGGTGGTGGGGGCTCTGCCCCCCGTGGTGGGACTGACGGGAGCGTCCGAGAGCCCCCCGGCCTGATGTGTGCCCAGACTCGCCCCCCTTTGCCCACTGGAAGCCCCGTTTACAAGAAGTCCTCCCTGAACAGTGTGGATGGGTTCTGTGGCCAAGTGAAACGACTTATGATGACGCCCATTATCACTACCGGAGGCTGATGGATATTAGGGAGAGTTAAGTTCCTACGTCTCATCAGTGCGACAGTGGAACAAAACTGGACACAGGGGTATTGTTATGCAAGGACCGGCTGTATCCCTGGGAGCGAGTGGCGGCCGTGGGGAGCCGCGGAGGGCTGCGTGGGGAGCAGGTGTGCACGCAGCTCCGGGACCCATCGCTGGGTCAGTCCGCTCCACAGGCAGGAGCAGCGCGCTGGGCCAGCTGTGAGTGCATCTGGCCTCAGACCCAACCAGCTCCTTCCTGCTGAGGGCAGGCAGCCGGGGCCTGAGGGGAGGATGGGGAAGAAGAGAGTGAGCCGGTGGGCTCTTACTTCTTGCTGCTGTTTTACAGTGGCCACCGCGACATCACGCTCCTGCCTGCTTCACATTCCCGAGGACCTGGGTTTGAATCCCGGAGCTGCCGCTTGAGAGTGGCCCTTGGGCCACTTCCCAACCCGGGGTTTTATTTCCGCGTGAGGCCCATCTCAGACGGGGCTCAGGACCGAGTACCGCCCCTCGAGGGGCCCAGGCAGCGGTCAGTAACGGCACCACCTCTGCTCTTACCTTCCAGGACCTGGTGACGATGGTGGAGCAGCTGGCCAGGTTCCTGGGGGTGTCCTGTGACAAGGCCCAGCTGGAGTCGCTGATCGAGCACTGCCACCAGCTGGTGGACCAGTGCTGCAACGCCGAGGCCCTGCCAGTGGGCCGGGGTACGCGCCCCTGCCGCCCCTGCCTCTGCCCAGGGCCCGTGGCCCCCCGCCCCCGCCCCACTTCAGCGTCCCGCTGCCCGTGTCTCGCTTCTCCAGAGCCCTCTGCTGTGCGTGGGGCGAAGCCGCCTGGAAGCTGGGCTGTGCAGCTGTTTGCGTTGTGACGGAGCGAACGGTGTCTGGGTTCCCAGGAGGGCCCCCCGGGCGCGTGCCAGGCTCTGTGGGCACGATGTTCTCAAGCAGGTGTCTCCCCACAGCAGAGCCCGGGTGGCCCGGGCGGTGAAATCGCAGAGCCCACGTGTGCAGATGGATTCCCCAACCTGTGGGCCGGGGAGGGCGTGAGTTCCCACGTGAGGAAGTGCCGGTTCCTGCACGCACCATGAGTGCCCGGGGCAGTCAGGCAAGCCCGGCCGGGCAGGGGGTGAGAGCAGAAAGCGCAGGCCCCGGGCTGGCTGCTCCGGGAGCTGCTGTGGGGCAGGCAGCAGTTTGAGATGGAGGAGATGCTCCAGGCAGGAGTCCTCTCCAGGCCCCGCGGCCCTCCGTGCCCTCAGAGGCGGATTGACTGGGGAGCTGGGGCAGGAGAGCCCCGTGGTCCCCAAGGGGTTGCTGTGGCCGTGGGAGAGCAGGGAAAGGGGCACAGCCTGGTGGTGGTGCCCTGATGCTGGTTCCTGGGTTGTGAGTCTGGAGCTTTCTCAGGAGACGACAGCGCTTGAGGGAAGGGGAAGAGGTGCCATCAGGTCCACAGGAGACCCTGGGTGGTGGCGGAAGGGTGGGCTCCATCACAGCTGCCACGCCCTGGGAGGGGCCTCAGGCCGGGCTCTGAGCTTAGACAGCCTTGTCCTTTGTCTGCAGATGCAGAGGGCTGGCGTGGCTGCCGGGGCTCCCGGGCTGCTCTGAAGGTCAGGGGCACAGTGCCTTCCTGTAGAGGCAGAGCGGCCTGCTTTTCCAGGAAGAAACAAACCCCAGCGCCTCGCGCTTGTTTCCTGGCTGCATCCTCACCATGTTTATGGTTTACATTTTTTTTTGCTCCTTTTTAGTTTTGCATTTGCTCTGTTGCCTGTGGGTGTGACCGTCCCTGCGCCCCCCGTGGTTCGTGTGTGTGTGTGTGTGTGTGTGTGTGTGTGTGTGTGTGTGTCCCAGGGCTCCTTCCATGGATTTGCTTTGTCTTGTCGCCTTGGTTTTGCTTTATTTCAGTTCTTTGATTTTGTTTTCTTTTAGCACATTGCCTCTGTGCTCGGAAGACCTCCTTGCGCTGGTGAGAATGCAGGGCCTTGAGTAGCCAGCTGCATTGCTTAGATTTGATTCATGTCCCAGCATAAATTCACTGTCTTGATTCCAAACCCTAAACCAGGTGGGTGACTCCTCTGATGCGCGCTCAGCGGCCTCAGCTGAGAAAAACAATCCTGGAAAAGTTACTTATGGTGGCTTGGGCTACAGGCTCCTGATTTCCTCCCTTGGGCGCCATTAACGGGGAGCAGAACAGTTCCTCTAGTTTTTCTCCTCCCACACTGACGTCATCTTCATGGCCAAAGAGGAACCCTGTCCTGTTGGGGTGTGAGCTCCGCGCTTGCAGGGGTGGGTTGGTCCCGAGGTCCGGCCGGGGGCCAAGGAGGGGTGTTTGCTCCGACCTCGAGCTCTGATCTCGGAGATGCTGAAAGGGTTCTGAGCAAACATCTTAGTTCCCGAAAAGCACGGCAACAGCTGGCGGGTCACAGCTCCCCAGCTGGGAGGTCTGCACCCCACTTCTGGCATCTTCATGGTCACTGTTAATGTTTTATTTTTATTTGTTAATCCTCATCCAAGGACATTTTTTCCATTGATTTTTTTAGGAAGAGTGGAAGGGAGGGAGGGACGGGGAGAGATAGAGAGAGAAAGATCAACTGGTTGCCTCCTGCTGGCTGGCGCCCAGACTGAGGCTGGGTGTCGAACCTACAACCCAGATATGTGCCCTTGATCAGGAATCCAACCGAGACCCTTCAGTGCCTATGCCGACACTAACCATTTAACTACACCAGCCAGGGCACCATTAACCCTTTGAGTGCCAACCAATATCCTAGGAACTATGCTAAAATTGCCAAGGCATTTTTGCTGATTTTACAGCAGTTTTGGAAAAAAATTATGAATCGCAAGTAAATGAAGTTACATATTCAAAAACTTAAGGAAACCTTTACTACATTGACATATTTAGCAATATCATCATCACTAATAAAAGCAGACTTAGAACTGGACGCCATTTCGAAGCTTTGATAGCGCTCCCGGCACTTTTGGCGAAGGTCAGGAGGAGCGCTCCCCGGCACTCAAGGGGTCAATATTTGTCCAACCAACTGCAGCTGTTGTAGTTAACGGGAAAGTGGGTGGGTTCTGCAGTTTGAGTTGTTTTTTTTTTTTAAATATATTTTATTGATTTTTTACAGAGAGGAAGGGAGAGAGAGTTAGAAACATCGATGAGAGAGAAATATCGATCAGCTGCCTCCTGCACACCTCCCACTGGGGATGTGCCCACAACCAAGGCACATGCCCTTGACCGGAATCGAACCTGGGACCCTTCAGTCCACAGGCTGACGCTCTATCCACTGAGCCAAACTGGCTACAGCTGCAGTTTGAGTTTTTTTGGGCTCTGTCTCCCAAGCCTGCTCATCAGTCTGGGGCTCCGTGCTCCTGCCTGGTGGCCAGGGTCACAGTTTTTGACCGCCTGCTGCGCTGCAGCCCCGGCGGCCAGGGGTGGCCCTGACTCGCTTGGTGTGGAGTCGGTAGTCTGGCTGCCGCACACCCTCTGCATCCAGGCAGGAGAGCTGGCGGGCACCGTGACTGCCATTCCTCCCGGGCTGCGCGCAGGCTTCTCAAAATCTCCCTCCTTGACCTGGAGGCCGCCTGCTCGCCTCAGGGGTCTGCCTTTGGATGGTGTTCCCTTCTTGCCGTCTGCAGAAGCAGGGGCCCCTTGGTGGGGCTGTTGAGCCGTGAGTGGGGACATCCGGAAACCCCACTTCCCCACGGTCCACAGACCTGGCCACACTCCCTGTGCTGAGAATCGCACTCAGAGCCTGGGTGCGGGGTCATATCCCCCCCCCACCCCCCCCCAGTGGCCGGGGCAGCCTGCACCTCAGCTCCGTGCATTCGTGGCGCTGGGCCACCCCGCGGGAAAGGACCCCAGGATGTCAGACTCGGGGTCCAGCCTGTCCGGTTCAGAGGGCCTGCCTGGCCCCCGGGCCAGGTCCGAGGGTGCAGGCTTCCTGTGCTCGGGTAGCTGCCCGGCGCGCACGCGTGCAGCACGCTCTCTCGTTTGCTTCCAGGGCGCGTGGGGCTGTGGAAGGACATCTTCACCGTGTCCATGAACGAGAAGTTCGACCTGGTGTACAAGCAGAAGATGGGGAAGTGCGACCTCACGTTTGACTTTTATTTATAAGCGCAGCCCCGGCAACAGCCCTGCATGCTCGCGGTCCCCAGACGCCACTAGCTACGGTCCCGTACACGCATTCGCTACTCGCTGGACAAGCCCCGGCCGCGGTGTGGCCACGCGGGGAGGGGGGCGCGCAGGGGGTGGGAGGGGCCTACCGCCCGGAGCAGCTGTCCCGCCTTCGGATCTGAAGTCTGTCCGTGTCTGATACAAACATTGTCAGGGTCGCCGTTCCGTTCCAACTGTGGCACCGTGAACACAAAGCCTGTAACATATGCAGCCAGACGCCAGCCTCTTACAGCCCGCATTCCTGCCTGCATTTTATAGAGCTTCCCACTGGAGACCTGAACACGTGTCAGTACACACCAAACCAAAGTTCACTCCCGAGGGCGCTCGGGGGTGAGCCACACCGAACGGTAGACAGATCTCAGGTTGCAGTTTATTTTTGTAGTTTTCTCCTGTGAGGCAGCCATTCATTCTCACCTGGTCTGGGAGGAAGGTGAGGGCTCCATGAGGCGGGGGCCGAGGGAGACTGTCCCGATGGCGCGCAGTTCTCTGTCACCTGGAAATGAGGCAGGAACTGCCCACCGGGCGTTCTCGGAGGGGATGCCCGAGGCCAGAGACTCGCTGGGCGGAGCCAGCGGGACTCTGGGGGGAAGCCGGCCCCAGGCCGGCGATGGGACAGTCCACCCGGAGACACTGGGAGTCCGAGTCTTTGTCACCGTCTTTCTCTTGTTCCTGAAGCAGAAGCCTCTGCTGGGGAAGCAGGTGCTCGCAGTGAGGTCCTGGGGCTCCCGGTCCTGAGCCTTCAGCTGGTTCCGCCCGCGGAGGCGCTCAGCCCTGGGGTGCCATGTGGCAGGGTTAGCGCCCTGCTCTCACCCTGTCCCTGTCCCCGCACCTCCGTGTCCCTGGGGGAAGAGGGGTGGAGTCTGTACCCCTGTTCCTCCCTGTCTCTCCCCATCACCTGGCCCACCTCTGGCTGGAGGAGCGGAGAGGCTGGGTGGCCTGTGGCTGGGAAGGGCCCTGAGAGGCGGCAGGGCCGCTGCTGGAGGAGCTGTCCTGTGTTGCGTCCCTGAAAGGTGTGTTTTACTGTGAAGGCGAGCGGCTGGGACCCGCAGGTGGCGCGTGGCGGTGCGTGTGGGCTCGGCGGCCCCTTTTCCGCGCATCCGTGAGGGAGGCTGCTGTCTGTGAAGTTTCTTTTCTATTTTTCTATTTCAGTGCTGTATGGACATGAGACTTCTGTGCTTGCTTGCATCTTTAATAAAGACACGTCCCAGGCCTGGTGTCGAGCTTGTGCTGCGGGGAGGGGCCCCCACGTGATCCCCTCGGCACTTCGGGGCGGCAGGAGCATGAGCCCCGCGGACACCCTGTCGCTGGGGCTGACCGTAAAGGGTCACGGGCCGGGTCGGGGTTGGCTGTTCCTCTCGGGCTCAGCGTCCCAAGCGTGGAATTCACCTCGCTCTTTGCCCGCCACCTTTGATACCTTCTGTAAGCGGAGATGAGAGGCAGGGTGGGGGGAGGGGGAAGCCTGGGAGCGATCCGGGGGATGCAGGCGTCACCCTCTGCCTCGGGAGGTCCCGTTGTCAAGGTGGCGTTCCTGGGGTGGCAAGACAGCACTGCACTGCGGGGTCCGCAGCCCGCCTCCCCATCCCCGTGGAAGGAAGTCCAAGCCGTGGTTTATCGGGTAAAGCTGGGCTTTCGGAAACCCTTTACTTCCCGATGGACTGGTTCCTGTAAGTCACGTGAGACCCAGACTGACCGGGCCTTTAGAATTATCCTAGGCCCCGAGTTAGCTTGTGGGCTATCCAGTCTGCTGTGTCCCAAACCACAGACAAACACCTAAAGCCAGGAAGTCCAGGGACACCGGCCAGTGGGAGGCACGGGAGGCGGTGCTGGTCGGTGAAACACCTCCGCTGGCCCGGACTGGCTGATCCCTCACCTGTGGGCGCCCAGCACCTGCCTTGATGGCTTTGTCTCAGCGTTGTGTGCCCCGCAGGAGCACAGGGGGCAGCCCGCACGTGCTCCGCACCAGACTCTCAGGTCAGAAGGAGCTCGTCCATTCAGCAAACACCTGAGCACCTGCAGGGGGTGCGACGGACCAGCCATCACCAAACCCACGGGAGGGGCGTGCAGCCCCCAGAAGACTGGGGGGACCCAGTAGACCACATGCTGGTGGGAGCGCGAAGGAAGCGAGGGCCCCAGCTTGGAGCTGGGGGAGAGGCCAGGGTGGGCAGGCAGGGCATGGAGGCTGGTGGGCCGGCACCAGCCCTGGGGGTGGGGCTTACAGGTCAGGAGAGTTTGGGTTTCTGGCAACAAAAAGGAAGCCTCGGAGGGTTTCATCAAGGGAGGGCACCCTGTGTGCATGCTGCACAGCTCCCCCGGCTGCTCGCGAGTCGGTTCCAGGTGGAGGCGGAAGGGCCTGCCCCGGGGGTGTGTGCCAGCGTCCAGGACATGGGGGGGGGGGGGGAGCTGTGTTGTACCATCTCTAGGCTCCTTCTGACCCGAGTCTGGTGCTGAACAAGTGCGGGCAGTGCGTGTGGGCTGCCACCTGTGCATCCTGCCTGGCACACGACGCTGAGACAAAGCAATCAAGGCAGGAGGTGCTGGGCGCCCACAGGTAAAGCCAGTTTGGAGACTGGAGTGAGGGGGTGGGGTGCAGATGGGGTGTGAGTCGGGCCAGGAGGGCGAGAGGCCCTGGCAGACTGAATTCCACAGGTCAGGCTCCCCGGGATTCTCAAGGGTGGGCCACGGCAGGGGCCAGTGTGAGGGCCTGACTTCACAGACCAGCAAGATCCCCATAGGACTCTGGGCCAGCACGGGGTTTACTCCCCCCACTCCCCCCTACCCCCCCTCTCCCCTCCCTCCCTCCGCCCCCCCCCCGCCACCCCCGCCCCCCCCCAGCTCCTGCCAGGCGGGATGTCTCGGGCTCCCTTGGCCTTGACCTGTGCCTCTTGGAGCCTGTCATTTGTTTTCTTCCAAGCGCCCAGTGCCTTCCTCGGGAGGGGGCCCTTGCACAAGAGCAGGTGAGTCACTCCAGAGCTCTGACCCGGGTCCTGATTTTCACAGCGGAGATGACCTCCATCCTGCTCACTTCATCGCATGGGCACAACCAGAGCCAAGTGGCTTGGAAAACAAATGCAATCCACACGCCTCTACCCAGCACTGCTGGCGAGCGCCCCCTGGTGGCCGCGCCAGAGCTGACAGCGGCATCACAGTTCACAGCTGAGAAGTCCTGGCCGGTGCGGTAGCCCTCAGGACTGTGGATAGAGAGGCCTGCAGTTTCTGTCCTGGGATTGGGGGGGTGGGGGTGGGGGTAGGCAGGGCTTCTGAGCGGGGTGACCGCTGTTTGTAATGGTGAGGGCAGACCTCAGTGTCCATCACTCCATACGGGCCCGTTCTGTAGGAATGGCCCGGTCCTGCCTACATGACATTATCTTTCATTCATAGAAGCAGCCTTTTCAGACTGGCTGGCACGTTGGGCAGCTGGCCCTGCCTTACCCAGCGAGGAATGCCCTCTGACATCCTGGCAGCTGGACATCCAGCCCTGACAAGCTTGCCACTCCGGGACAGCCATCATTGCTGGCGGTCCTCTGGCCACTCCTGCAGGGCACCCTGCCCCCAGCCCACGGCCTGGGCCCACCAGCCCTGCCTTCACCTGGTGAACCTCCCCCTCTGCTCCCCAAGTTCCTCTCTGGTCCCACCCACCTCACTGCTCTGCCTCCCGCCCGGGACAGTGACATCCTGGGAGCAGGGCTATCTGTGTCCATCTTTTCCCAGGCGGCAGGTGGGCATGTGATCAATGCCTGATTGTTGAGTGGCATCTTTTTTGTTGTTAATCCTCATGCGAGGGTATTTTTTCCATTGATTTTTAGAGAGAATGGAAGGGAGGAAGGGTGGGGGGAGAGAGAGAGATTGGTTGTCTCCCCCACCCACCCCGACTGGGGCAGGGGTCAAACTTGCAACCCTGATACGTGCCCTTTACCAGGAATCAAACTCACTCAATGTCAGGAATAGGGCACGGCTGGGATGCAGACGGGGCAGGGCCAGGGGCGTGCCAAGTGGGAAGAAGGACATACCAGAGTGGGCCAGGGGCCTGCTTCTCATTCCAGCCTGCCACTTGGTGGGACCATGGGGGACACCCCTTTTCAGCTCCTAATGAGCAGGTGTCCTCTAACCGCCCCCCCAGCTCAACATCCTGTGACTCTTAAGTGGTCAAACTGCCTACTGGCTGAACCCAAGAGGATCTGATGAATTGGGGGGGGGGGGGGAGACTGTGCAATATTAGCCAGTGACGGACTTAGCCAGTGACGTACTTTAGCACCAAGAGCAAAGAATTAGTCACAGAAGCACCTGCCACACAGCGTGGGCCCGCACAGCCGCCTCCAAGGCGTGCTGAGCCTTTGCCAGATCCGCAGGTCAGATGACAATTTCATCCTCACGCTTGGATCCCTGTAAGCTCGTTGGCGCCAGATGCCTGAGCTGCTTTTCCTAAACCTGTCTCATCACCACGGACGGAAGGAAGTCTGTGCTCTATTAAAAGCATTAAAACTGGGGAATGCGACATGTGTCTGAAATATGAAAATCAAACACAAAATGCATGCCTGGCCACACTGCTCATCGCGGCCTGACCGAACGCCTAACCCAGCCGTGGGCAAACTACGACCCGCAGGCCGGATCCGGCCTGTTTGAAATGAATAAAACTATTGAAAAAAAAGACCGTACCCTTTTATGTAATGACTAGAGGCCCGGTGCACAAAAATTTGTGCACTCGGGGGGGAGGGGGGGTCCCTCAGCCCGGCCTGTGCCCTCGCAGTCTGGGACCCCTTGGGAGATAACGACCTGCTGGCTTAGGCCTGCTTCCGAGTGGCAGAGGGCAGGCCCAATCCCTAGGTGCAGCCCCTGGTCGGGCTCAGAGCAGGGCTGATTGGGGAGTTGGGGCGCCGCCCCCTGTCATGCACAGAGCAGGGCGGATTGGGAGGTTGTGATGCCACCCTCAGTCATGCTCAGGGTAGGGCCGATTGGGGGATTGGGGCACGGCCCCCTGTCACACTCAAGGCAGAGTCGATGGGGAGGTTGTGGCGCCACCCCCTGTCACGCACAGAACAGGGCCAATCAGGGGGTTGGGGCGCTGCCCCATTACGCACAGAGCAGGGCCCATCAGGGGGTTGGGAGCTCCCCCCTGTCATGCACAGAGCAGGGCCCATCAGGGGGTTGGGGAGCTCCCCCCTGTCACTCACAGAGTAGGCCCGATAGGGGAGTTGGCACACCGCCCCGTCACACACAGAGCAGGGCAGATCAGGGGGTTGGGGCGCCGCCCTCTATCACCCACAGAGCAGGGCCAATCAGGGGGTTGGGGTGCCACCACTGTCACACTCAGGGCAGGGCCGATGGGGAGGTTATGGCTCTACCCCATCACACACAGAGCAGGGCCTGTGGCGGGGGGGGGGGGGGGGCGGTTGGGGCGCCGCCCTCTATCACCCACAGAGCAGGGCCGATCAGGGGGTTGGGGCACCTTCACCTGTCACGAACAGAGCAGGGCGGATAGGGAGGTTGTGGCCCTGCCCCCTGTCACACACAGAACTGCAGGGCAATCAGGGGGTTTGGGCGCTGCCCCGTCACGCTGATCCCGGTGCCGGGAGGCCTCGCGGCTCCGCTGATCCCGGTGCTGGGAGGCATATTACCCTTTTACTATATAGAATAGAGGCCTGGTGCATGGGTGGGGCTGGCTGGTTTGCCCTGAAGGGTGTCCTGGATCAGGGTGTGGGTCCCCACTGGGGTGCCTGGCCAGTCTGAGTGAGGGGCTGAGGGCTGTTTTCAGGCTGGGACTGAAGCTCCCAACTGCTTTTTTTCTTTTTTTCTTTTTTTCTTCTGGGCCAGCTTTAGCTCTGAGGCTCCAGCTCTTAGGCCTCCGCTCCTGAAAGCAGGTATCTGGTTTGTTTCGGTTCTCGAAACTCTGTATCAACTCCAGCTCTGAGATCCCAGCCGGCTGAAAGCTGGTTTCTGGGGTTTTGTTTAGCGTCTATATTTGTTACAATGTTTGCAACTGCCAGCTCAGAGGCCTGCAGCGGCCGTCGGGGAACGTTGGAGTCCTCCGTCACTGAAGCAAGCAAGCCTCATGTTAGTTTCAAGCTGCCTGGCTGCTGGCCGCCATCTTGGCTGACAGTTAATTTGCATATTGCCCTGATTAGCCAATGGGAAGGGTAGTGGTTGTATGCCAATTACCATGTTTTTCTTTTATTAGTGTAGATGTTTGCTTTGAATTTATATTAGTTCACACAA